AAGCTTGGGACGCCGCGGCGCCCCTCTGCTTCCGCCTCGATAGCGCCCTGGTCGGGGCTCTCATAGGTAATAATGGCCGCCCCCCCACCCCCCGGGGCGCTTGGCCCGCTGAGGTGAGGGGGTGGGGGAGGAGGAGAGGACCCGGCCGCGGAGAGGTTTGTTCGTGTGGGTCCCTGTCCGTCCCTCTGTGCCCTGAGGAGGTGCATCGCTGCCTTCTGTTTCCCTGGCCGTGGAAGGGCCCCGGCCCCTTGCGATCCCCCTTCCACAGCTGATGGCAGGATGCTTTTGCTAAGTACTGGCTGAAGGGTGGAGCTCTCCCACTTGACAGGGTGGCGGAGCTTTTCCTCCCTAAAGTGGTGGGGTTCTGTTTCTCATGGCCAGCAGTCTGTGTGTGGGCTGAAGCCCCTTTCCAGTTGCGTGAGTCTTGAGCTGGTTTTCCCATCTCTTTAGCTGAGGTGCCTGCCCTCCCGCCCCGTTCCTGGGCAGCTTACATTTGGTTAATTGCCAAAAGTTACCTCCATTTTCCAACAGTTTGGTGTTACAAGTTCTTTTGTTTATGGATGTGTGCACTAACATGAATGTCTTAAGTTTTGGTCACAACCAAAATACAGTTACCACGTGTAGGTTTTGACAGTTCGACCTAAATCTCTGTAATACCTGAGGTGTATCTTTATAACAGGTCGGGGCGGAACTAAGATAAGAGAACTTGAGGATTCTTCAGGTTCCAGGATAAAGGTACCATGTGCTGCGTGTCATCCAAGTCTGGACTCTGTTTGGAACATACTTGGTTTTGCTTCAGTGAAAATCAGAGTTACTGCAGAATGTTGAAGAGTGTTGCAGTAGCTGTAATAATTCTACTCTTTTACAAGAATTGGTAAAAAGGAAGTGGAATTAAGAGTGTAACTAGACTGGTATGTGGAAGTAGGAAAAGCTTACTGATTTTTTTTTTCCTTAAGTATGCATTAATTTCCTTTTTTTATGTGTAGGAAATTAAAGGGCCTTTCCCCGAGAAGTTCAAATTCAGAAAAAAATCAGACTGTTTTCAGTATATATTCTTATATAATGTTTGTCTTTGCAGTATTAAAAAACTCAGGTTTTATGAATATAGGTTATAAAGGGAACCTATGAAGCTGAAGTAAAGATTTTTGGCAGCGTTGCTGTGCAAAACAAAGCCAAGATGTTGATTGATGATGCTGTTAAAAGATCTGGACAAAACTACAGTAGAGGTGGGACTGAGAAAGGTAAGAAATGTGGTTGGGGGGGAAGTGTGGATTGTCTTTCCTTATATTTGGTAGTTTGCTGAAGTGTTTTTCTGTTGTTAGTATTTTAGTGAAGCGAGTTAAGTTTCACCTTGGTCTTGGACAATGGCATACCTCCTTAAAAGAGAAATAGCTAGACATTTTCCTTTCTCAGCTATGAAGTTTCCCCCCCCCAAACTGACAAACTTCTGTGAAAATCTGTTTCTCTCTGTTTTCAACAATCTTAATGAATGCAGAATGTTACACTACTTCGTTTCTTGCATTATCAGTCTGATTCCCCCAAAATAAAAGTATTTGTTCTAGTTTAAGTATTAACGTAGTATCTGTGCTGTATTAAAATTCAATAAGGTTTTATAAATGTTATCTATAAAGCAAACGTACTGATTATAGCATGGATGATGCTGACTTCTTACTACTTTCATAGGAACTTAGCATTTAAGATTTGACATTGCACATCATGCCTCACTTTCTAGGCTTTATTGTGTTAACTGTATCTGTTTTTATATACATGTATGTAATAATTGTATGTTGAGATGCTGCTTATGTTATTGGTATTTGTCTTGTTTGCCTGTGTAAAAAGTCATTGGGAGCACATACAACATCCATCATAGTTGTTGATCTGAGGCACTGATGAGGAAGAAGGGATCCAGGAGTTAGGTTCCAGCATTAGAATAGGAATGGAGTAGTTGTGAGCTTCGGTTTTAGAAGTGCCCCAGAAGGTGGACGAGTGTGTTTCAAGAGGATAGAAATAGTTAACACTTCCTTAGTGTATGTGACCGTGTTTTCCCCATGTTTCCTGCTTTTCCATTAATACGTAACTGTGTTGTCATTTATATCTTCAGCATAAAACCTTTCTTTCTTAAGAAGTGTTGACCTCATCAAAAAAGATGTATAGAGTGTAACTGCACTGAAACTCTATTGTGGTGACGTTGAATGCTTTAGAAGTAAACCTTGTTCTTGTAGCTGTTAAAAATAAAGCTTTCTGTCTGCATATTATCTACTAGGTTCACAAGTTTTTTAAAAGCCTGCTGCACAACAAACCTTATTTATAGCTGGAGGAACAGCATTTTGGAACCTGTCATTCCTTTCTTTAAGTAGCTAAAGATGTTTGAAATGCTGCTTTTTTAATCAGAAATGGATTTGTACAGGTTTTACCAATGTTTCAGGCTAAGACCTAGGAAAGAATTTTCTATTTAAATGCTTCATGTCTATTCAAAATCACATGAGAGACCCTACAATAGAAAAATAAACCAACATGTTTGGTTTGGGTGGGGGGGTTCTCCCCCACCCTCCAACAGATTCCATCAAACAGCAGCATGTTGGTACTAACTCTGCAGGAAGAACTTTGGACTTCATCAAGCCTGAAAATAACCCAAAGCAAGCGGTGATTAACTGGGCCTCTCTTCGAGAAAACAAAGCTAAATATGAAGCTATGAAGTGGGCAGGTTAGTTTTAAAATTTTTATTTTATGGTACTTGTTTATCATATGATAAACCTGTCGAATGCTTAAATGTTTTTAATTCTTGCTTTGATACGACTGAATCTTTCAGTGCCCAAGTTCGTTAAGTATTTGCAGTGAAGTGACCAGGTCAGCATTTGTCAGCACAGTCGTGGAGGACGCTGTAGTTTCTGTGTGAAGACTTAAACTTGCTACTCAGTTGGTATTTTGACTTCACCCTTTGAAAATGCCGTTGTTTTGTATGTGGCCACAGCAAAAATCTGAGAATTGTTAAGTATTATACTGTAACGGTTAGTAGGAATTAGTTAGAACTTGAAATGCAGAGAAGTGGTTCTTTTGCAAATACTTAAGTGTTTGTCTCAGCCTTTGTCTTTTACATGACCAGCAGTAGTCTTCCACCGCTTTTTGAGTAGTCTAGTATAAGGCAAAGTCTGGGGTTTGGGTTTTCCATCTTGAGCTCTAGCAGACTTATGCTGAATCTGTAGCATTTCATACTGACTCAAGCTTACTTTTTCTGATTGTTTAAGACTTGCCTCCAATTGAGAAAAACTTCTATAAAGAATCGTCCAGGACTGCATCTATGTCACAAGACGAAGTGGAACTGTGGCGGTAAGATCATTTCTGTAGGGAATCATCTGCTTGGCAAAAATAACTATTAAGGTATAAAGCCCAGAACGTGGGAGATGAAATACTGAGACAGAAGCATTAATGTTAGGGTCTTGTAATAACTTAAATCTTCTTATGAAGTAAATAGTAACTAGCAGACGAGGTATTATTAGTGGTTTGGAAAATTAACTTTAGGGATTAACTGCTTTTCTAAAATGATTTGATTGACTTTCAGAAGGGAAAAAAAAATCAAGTCAGTTCATTGGCTTTTGGCTGTTTCTTTGCATTTCGTGAGACAGCGTGTTCATGTTTTCTAGGTCCTTCCAAATCTTATTGTTCACATGTTGAATACCTCTCAGCTGCCATTTTTTTCCCCCATATATTTTAGTTGAATACCATCTTCAAAACAAATTTCGACTTCTGTTACTCTTGTTTTCCTATCTATCTGTCTTGTCTTTACAAGAACATCCTGGTGAGCACATGCCTCAGTTGCCTGTGTCCATTCGTTTTGATCCAGCCATCTACATCATTACTTTGCCCTGGTAATAGTTTCAACCCTTTTCAGTAGTTCTGATGAAGTTGGTGAATGTTCTCGAAGCATTACCTTTCATTCCTTTTCTTTTTGCATGCTGTCTGTTTTTTCTCTTGCATGCCCACCAGAGAAACCTTGCCACAGTGAGCAAAGCATGGAATTGACACCTGTTTCCTTACACTATATGTACGTGTTATTGGTAGAGCTAGTCAAGAGCAACAGGACATTGTTCTGTAGGCTCAGAACATGCATTGAGGAATAGCACTTGTAAAGGAATGTGTTTCCTTTTTCATCTAATCTATTTGCTTTAAGGAAAAAAAGACAGTAATTGGAAAAACAATTATTTTTATAAACATGAGGAGAGGTTGCATTACCAATTCATTTCCTAGCCCACACCCTGCTTGTAGTAAAACTATTTGCCGAATGGAGTCTTCAGAAGAGTACAAGACTGGAATGAAGATAAATTACTTAGGTGTGTTAATACCTCTTAATTGGGGGGAGCCTCAGTACCTCAGTTTTTATGTAGCTTTTTGTGTGTGTTACTGTGTTTGGGGTTTGGTTTGGTTTCGGTTTTGAGTGGATTTTTTTCTTGGAGCTTGTCTTACTGACTGTGTTCTCTTTTCTAAACTGCTCTGTTTGTATTTTCTAGAGCATCCAGGGAGCTGCTCCGAATATATTTTGCTAAGGCTTTTGTCCGAATATAGGGTTCCAATCCATTCCTCAGAGTTTTAGGTTGCCTTTAGCTTTAAAAACTTGTCAGAGTTATTTAATTTGTAATAGAATATAACTGATGTCTGATATGAAAGGACTGCAGTTAATGTTAATATCCATATATAACTTCAAATTAGTCATTCTTAAGAAAGAATGGTAATTGATGCCTCCAGGAGAAGAGTTTCTGTAGTAAGGCTTTCTTAAAGGTTAAAAAAATAGTTGTAAGTCTCATTCAAGAGCCTGAACTTGGCTTTTGTTGTTCCAGGAATTAAAAAAAAAAAATGTCAGAAAGGCAGTCTTTTATGTTAGCTCTACTTTTTCAGATAACAGGACTTTAAAGCAATTGCACCTCTTTAATTCTATGCAGGAAAGAAAATAATAATATAATTTGTGATGACTTAAAAGAAGGTGAAAAGCGCCGCATTCCCAACCCTGTTTGTAAATTTGAAGATGTATTTGAGCATTATCCTGATATTATGGCTAATATAAGAAAAGTTGGTTTTCAAAAGCCTACACCAATTCAGGTACTTCTTCAGTTTTGATGACTCTCTTAACTGAAGCTTAAGAAAAAAGTACATTTAAGTATTTGTTGTTTTATGTTAGTCCCAGGCATGGCCGATCATACTCCAAGGAATTGATCTTATTGGTATAGCACAGACTGGTACTGGGAAGACATTAGCGTACTTAATGCCTGGATTCATTCACTTGACTTCACAACCAGTGTAAGCACTGCTCACATGTCTGCCTTGTTTAGCTGTGCGTACTTCCCTCCCATCCCCCCATGTAATGGTTTTCTAGTAAAGAAAATAAATCATACATTTCAAAAAAAATCAGAAACCTGGTGGAATAAGTACCAAACTTGTCACCATAGATTCCGTTAGTAGCAGTGTACTTAGAAAGTCTAGAACAGGATAAAAATACTCAATGTCAGATATGATTGACTTTGCCTAGCCTTATATGCGCACATTCTAAAGATGATTTATTGCAGATCCAAAGATCAGCGTGGGGGGCCAGGAATGTTAGTCCTTGCTCCCACTCGAGAACTGGCACTTCAAGTGGAGGCAGAGTGTTTGAAGTACACATACAAAGGAATTAAAAGGTAATCTTACTTCTCACTTGCTTATTAAGTAATTTTTTCCCTGCCACTTGTTGCTTTAATTCACCTACTAAAGGGGGGAGGGGAAGGTTGTAAATAAAGAGTTTGTATTTTCCCACTTTTTAGAATGCCAGTTTTGACTACTCTATGGTGAAAATCTATTTCCTGCATAGTTGGAGTTCTCTGTGTTGCAGCTTTGTCCATTGCTTCTGCCCTTCTGTGTGGACAGCTGGGAAGAGTCTGGCTGTGTCTTCTCAGCACCTTGTTGTTAGGTAGCTGTAGACAGCAATAAGATCTCCCTGAGCCTTTTCCTCTTCAGGCTGAACGAGCCTGGTTACCAGGTTCTCACATCATGCACTCCATCCTCTTCACCATCTTGGTAGCTGTATGCTGGCCCTACTCCAGTATGGATATATCTGTCTTGTAATAGAGGCAGGGGGTACAAAAACTGGATACTGTGCTTGAGGCGTGGTCTCACAAATACTGAAGAAAGGGGAATAACAAGTTCCCTCAACCTGCTGGCTGTTGTCTCCATAGTAGACAGCTGGCTTTCTTTTCTGTGCTGAATAATGTTCAGTTTCTTGCACACACAAGTCTTTTCATAGAATCATAGAATGTTTTGGGTTGGAAGGAACCTCTAGAGGTCATATAGTCCAACCCCCCTGCAGTGAGTAGGGACATCTTTAACCAGATCAGGTTGCTCAGAGCCCCATCCAACCTGGCCTTGAATATTTCCAGGAATGGGGCCTCCATTACCTCCCTGGGCAACCCATTCCAGTGTTGCACCACCCTCATTGTAAAGAATTTCTTCCTTATATCCAGTCTAAACCTACCCTGGTTTAGTTTAAAACCATTACCCCTTGCCCTGTCACAGCTGGCCCTACTAAAAAGATTTTCCCCATCTTTCCTATGGGCCCTCTTTAGGTACTGAAAGGCTGTAATCAGGTCTCCCCACAGCCTTCTCTTCTCCAAGCTGAACAGCCCCAACTCTCTCAGCCTGTCCTCATAAGAGAGGTGCTCCAGCCCTCAGATCATTTTTGTAGCCCTCCTCTGGACCTGCTCCAACAGGTCCATATCCTTGTTGTGCTGAGGACCCCAGAGCTGGATGCAGTATTTTTACTAGTATTCTGCTTCTTAACTTTTCTCTTGTATTAATTCTTGAAGATTAAGTATTACATATAAAAAAAAATACTATGTAAGATCATTTTCCAAAACACAGGTTTTAAGGATACATAATTTTTTGAGTGTACATAATTTGTTTATGTAACTTATTAGGAGGTTCAGAGGAAAACATCCTCCTAATGAATGTGGGAAGGTCTGCAGTGTAAATCAAACTGATACTTAGTAAGTTCAGTCTCTGACCTATGCTTCAGCTCATTTTTGGCATCTGTCGTCTAGACCCCATGGTACCCTCTGGATGCAACCATCCAACCAATTCCTTATCCACCAACCAGTCCACCCATCAAATCCATAGCTCTCCAATTTAGAGAGAAGGATTTTGTGGGGGACTCTTTTCTGCAAAGCCATCTTCTAGCATGTTGGCCCTCAGCCATGGGGTAATTCCACCCCCACCTTTGCTTTTGTTAAATTTCATGGGATTCCTGTTGGCCCATTTCTCTAGCCTTCTGTGGTCCTTCTGAGTAACAGCCAAGCCGTCTAGTGTATCGACCGCTCCCCCAATTCGGTTTCATCCACAAACCTGCTGAGGGTGTAGGTCTTGATTTAAGCTATTAAACCAGAAATTGCTGTACTCTGAAACTTACTTTTAGGGCTTGTATAGCATTCAGAGTTGCTCTTTTAGTCATCAAATACTGAAACGTACATTCTTCTTCCTTCCCAAAAATACTAGGGAGTTTTACAGAGTGTGTTAAGTTTGTTTGTAAGCCTAATACCTTACCAAGCGTGTGGATTGTTTCAACAGCAGAACATCTGACTTTTGATGGTACTTCTTAAAAAATCGTGAACCCTTTCATGCGTTCATCTATTTTTGGTGTGAATATTTGGAGAAGAATCCAAAACATACTCATGGCTTAATAGCTATCTTCCTTCCTTTTATGATTACTTTCACTGCAGTTTCAGCAGAAAGCTATTGCTGAACTGTTGAGGGAGTGTCATTCAGTGTTAAGTCCATTATTTACTGTGATACTGTCAGTCACACCTACTGTATTCCTTCCTCTTGGAAATGCTGGATGATGCTTTTTAAAATTAATCAACATGGTGGCATTTATTTGAAAAAGAATTGACTTCAGTTGAACCTTAATGCACTACTTCCATAAAACATTTTATTTTTCAGTATTTGCATATATGGTGGTGGGGACCGAAAAGGACAGATAAACGTGGTTACGAAAGGTGTGGATATTGTTATTGCTACTCCTGGCAGACTGAATGATCTTCAAATGAACAACTTCATAAATCTGAAGAGCATAACATACCTGGCAAGTAGCTGATACAGAATGAGTAATGCACCAGTTGGGAAATGGTTGGCTTAGTGTGAACTTAAGGAAAACTTCGTTAAAGCTTAAACTTTTAAAAGTCTTAATTACAATACATCTTAACATTGAGATTGGTGTTGGAGGGATGGTTCATAATCATAATTGCATTGCAGATGGGGAATATTCCCTAGAAAAAAAAACTGGCTTCTAGCAGAGTAAGCATTTTAAAGATGCTAAATTGTTATTTCATAGTAGTAATGTTTGCTGGTTTAAAGTTCATTTTGTCAAAATCAGTTATTAATGGATTAAATGCATTTCCCAAGTTTTCTTTTCTTTTAAAGGTTACCAGTGACTCAAGTTCTTATTAGAACTTGTGCAGTAAGAACCAGTCACAAACTGTTAGATATTCAGATGTTTGGGTGACTTTCTTCTGATCTCAGTGGGAAAATAGCTGTGTAAACATCATTATGAATCTGTATGTCTTCATTCCTGCCTTTTGCTGTGCTGGACGCTTAAAACCATTGCTATTTTGTAAAATACATTCATGTATTTAAATTATTTCTGAGTTGTCTGGTTAACTAGTGACTTGTTGCCTAGTTTGACAGCTTGACCTGCTTTCCCTCCCTTATCTCCAACACCCACTCCCCTCTAAGGGTTAAGCACTCATTATGCTGTACAAGTTAGCTCCAATTCTAGCTAATAGTTGTGAGCTTACTGGCAAGACCAGTGGTGGCATAGCGTTATTAGAAATTTGGCCATCTGGAAGAAAAGAATATTATTGGAAGACAGGAGAGTAGCTTCATGTAGAAGAATAACATGTAATTGCTAAGCAGGAGGAAAAAGGGCCTGAAAACCTGCTTTCTGAGAACTATAGGAACATTAGTAATCTTTCTCTACAAGGGTAAAGTGTGGCCATACTACAAACAGACACTGCTTTGTAAAGCAAAGAATATGTATGTAACCAAAATCAGATGTTTTAGGATGTGCCAGATATATTATAGTATGACATTACTAAAAAGAATTAGCTATCAAATTGAAAAATACAGTGATACAAAGAGAAAACCCTTTGTTGTTCTACCATTAGCAGTTAAATATTTTCAGAAGATTGAAACCAGTGTAAGGACCATGTTTTCCGAAGTGGTTAATGTCTCATGCCTTAGACTTTCTGGAAATGCTGTGCTCCTTTAGGTCCCATGTGAAAAGTTGGACGTACAAAATTATATTTTTTTAATGTTACCATATATTTTTCCTTGTACTTTTTAATACATAAGATGCTTTCTGTTTCCACAGCTTCGTTGTTGATTTTCAGCCAACAAATAATTTAATCTTGGAGCCTTGTTTCAGAGAAAAGAGAGGGCTATTAGGTTTCACCTTTTAACACCTTGGATGAAGAATGCTCTTTGCTGAAGAGCTTCATTTACAGTTTTCGTTTAAAGATACTGAGTCTTCTGAATGGACCAAAAGTGCATTGAGTGTTATTTGCTGGTATGATACAGTTGTTTCCCAAAGGACTTCCAACCTCAGAGTCTGGGATACAATTGTTTGCTTAAAAAAACCCAAACAAACAAAAAAACCCCAAATAAAATAGTTATATTTGAATATACAGTGTACAGAAGGTGAATTGGAGGCAGGGAATTTGTCTTCTTGCCTGACAGAGCCACTAAGTTAGTTGCAGTCTTGATTCAGATTTTTAGGAACCCATTTATTCAAGACATCCTGCTGTATTTCATGATTTTGGAAGAAAGACTGGGAAATTCTGTCATATATGGCCTTCTGATTGTTTACAATACATATCATTTGAAGATTGCTTTCTTTTGCTGTGTTCAGTGTAAATCAGTATCCATCAGTAATCCGAGTGCTTTTTTCTTTTGACCTTATGCTCATAAAGCAGAAGTAAGGAAATTGGAGTTTTGCGTGAATAATTGGGAAGTGTTT